CTCCTCGCTGCCGCTCCCAGTGCTGTCTGCCTTCCCCTGACTCTAGCAATACCCCTGAGGCCTTTGCACACACACGTGGGGGGCATTCACATCTTCATCTCTGTGTTAAAGTGATTTATAGTGAGCATTTTCATTAAAACACATTTTGCAAGCCTGGGATAGCTCTCGTATACCTTTAATCCCAGCATCCAGGAAGCAGAAGCAGGCCTGGTCTACATAATGAGTTCCAGGCCATCCTAGGCTACATAGTAAACCCTACCTCAAAAATGTCATTTTCATAGATGCACCAAGTTGTAGATATTTGCATTTATATCTGAATAAAAATTTCAGATGAACATTTGAAAACTCTGAACAGATCCTGGAGTCTCATATGTAGAGAGACTTGCGCAGACAATTCTGATACATAGTCAAATATGAGAACCCTTAATCCCATACATTATCAAATGGTTTTCCCATCACAATCATATCCGGGTATGTGGTTCCCAGACTTAGGCATCTTGAATCTAAGCAAGACTGAGTGCCTCACCTTGACACCTGACAAGTGCCACTGCTGCTCCATGACTCCCGCCTGGGCAGAACCAAGCACAGTGCCATAGGTGGTGAGGATCCTTGCTGGTGATGCCTGATTGGGCGAAGCATCCGCCAGCTACTCTCGTGGGTAATACCATGCACCTTCTGGCTACGTATAATGTCACCACGACCTTGTGAAGGTAGGCTTCCATAGTCCCTTTCTGGAGACAGGGAAGCAAGGGCAGAGGTGCTATCCCCCGTGCTATACAGTGGATCTTCAATTCTTTGAGTCCAGCCTTCTGCTCGCTAAGCAAGTGCTCTGTCACTGAGTCTCCCAGCTGGTGTGGCTTGAGTTAAAACCCCAGCGCTCTCCCTATGGGGCTGTAGAGTGAGTGTGCTCAGTGTCTGGTTAGCCTCCAAAAGCGCTAGGTCACGCAGAAGCAGTGTGTACTGCGGTGGAATTGGGAGTCTGAGATGTTTAGGAGCCTCTGCTTAGTTTTTCCCTGATTGTGACGTAGCCTCGCTGTTCTGTCAGATAGCACACAACGCTGTGGGGCTGGTGCATTTACCCCGTGGAGCGCCCAGCATTCTCTGGGCACCTGACATGCGTGCCACAGCGTCCTAGCAAAAGCTTCACAAGTGTTGTTCATCTCCTCCGCCTTGTTTCTTCGGTGCCTCTTAAATCCCCTTCCCTTCATGGGGCAGAAGTGCCAGAGTGGGTGAGGGCATGCAGGGGTCAGAGCCCCCCAGCACGAGCCTGCAAGTTGGGGCTGGCGTCTGAGAGTTCTGAGAACGGGGAGGTGTGATTTGGCCTTCTGCCTGGCCCCCTACCCTGAGGACTCACACAGCAGTTGGTGATATCACGCTGGAGGCATTGGTGCTGAGGACCCAGGCCCTGAGAAATGGGCTGTGATCCCAACTGTCAGGCATGAGAAGAAACCGAAGTGGCCACATCCCAGAGACAGCCTCAACTTGTCATCTGAAATGTTTTCTTTCCAGCTTGATGTTTTTCTTGGATCCTGGTCTTGAATTTATATTCCAGATAGATGTTCTCCTCATTCCTGGTGGCCTTGTCACTGCTGCCGCTTCCTTGATCAATCCCACTCAATGGTGTGGGCCTGTCAGAGAAATGCTCTCCTGGGCCTGCCTAAGTTCTACCCCAGAATCTTTCATATATGTACATACGTTCACCTCAAACCCTTGTGAGGCTTTCCTTGGGCCTTAGGGTTTCTGTTGCTCGGGTAAAAACACTGGCAAAAGGCAACTGGGGGAGGAAAGGGTTTGTCTTGCACATCAGCGGGGGCAGACAGAGCAGGAGCTGATGTAGGTGCCATGGAGGGAGCTGCTCACTGGCTTGTTCCCTATGGCTTGCTCAGCCTGCTTTCTTAGAAAACTCAGGACCACCTTCCCAGGGTTGGCACCACCCATAGTGGGGTGGGCCCTGCACCTCACCTATCAATCATTAATCAAGAGAATGCCTGACAGGCTTGCCTGTAGGCCACTAACATAGAGAATTTTCTTGATTAAGAGTCCCTCTTCCCAGATGGCTCTAGCTTGTGTCAAGGTGACAAATGCCTAGCCAGCATGCCTTGTTTTAAAGGGTCTTTAGCAGAACTACTCTAGTAAGGACTCTGGTCATGTAAATAACGCAACACCTAGGAGAGGAGGTGAGCACAGAGCCCCTCCCACAGAGCAACCTGAGACCCCGGGGTGAACTTAGGAGCTCTGAGACCTACTGTGTGCTTGCTGATCTTTTCTTCTCTGTGGCAGAAGCATAACAAACTCCATCAGAATTCGCTACCTGGACAGCAACTAGATGGTAGATGGGGCGGGATGTTCCCTAGTGGTTCCGGGATAGGGTGTCCTAGTATTGAACTTTGTGATATACAACCTCACAGTGAGTAATTTGGAAACCATCTGACACTGAATTACTGATTCACGAGATGAATAGATACAATATAAATCAAATAGCACCACAAAGCCTCAAACGCCATCTAAATTCTCATCTAGTACACTGTTAAACTCTGGCTGATTAAGTCTCATGGCAATTTGTAGATCTTAGCTGTGTTTGCATCTAAAAAAAAAAAAGAAGACAGATTTTCATTGTAGGGATATGTAATGGAATCTGACCTATATTACTCTTCCTAGAGGAATTCAGAATCACCAATTGGGGCTAATGTGGCACAAAGAACTAATCCTTTCCTTCTGGGGAAGTGGGTGGCATCATTAGGGAAAGCACTGAATCAGTCATTTTTGTGGCTTGCTGTGGCCACGTTGTAGCTCCGTGAACTCAGAGGACATGCTCATGGACAGGGTATCATAGCAGAGAGAATGGAGGAATAAGCATAAAGAAATAGGGTTTAAAGCCAGGGGGTGATGGTGCACACCTTTAACCCCAGCACTCAGGAGGCAGAGGCAGAGGCAGGAGAATTTCTGTGAGTTATAGGCCATCCAGGGATACACAGTGAAACGCTGTCTCACTGTGTATCCGTGCCCCCCCCCACAAAAAGAATAATGTTTGTCCCCGCTCTGTGGCCCTGACAGTTTATCTGACCTCTCTGTGCATAGGGGTTTCGCTTACACATGGTGCTTCTGCATAGCCCACACTGGCCTTGAACCTGTGACTCTCTTGCCTCAGTCTCTTAAAACACCATCCCACAGAGTATTATAGCTTTGTGACTGAACTCTGAGACAGTTCTTACTTAACAGAGAGCAGAGATCCTTTCCTCTCCCGGACATTCAGCTGTATAAATGTTTCTGTTCCTGTTATGTCAAAGCACGACTGTGTGAAAAAGAGGATTTCAGTTTTTGTGGGGGTGAGGTTGAGAACTCCCAGATGAGATAGTAACTGTCCCTGGGCCTTTGTGATCCACAGCCTCTGCCCATCAGTGTCTGCGCCGTGAGCTGTGCTGTTAGCTAAGGACACAGACACAAAGCTGATGCCCGGGCCCACAGAAGAGCAGAGGCAGCGTGGGGAGGATGCTTGGTGGTGTCCTTGACCCACACACGGGCAGCAGTGTCCAGAAAAATCCAGGTCAAGTTCTTCAGCGTTGGCAGAGGACTTCAGTAGAGGAAGTCAGAGCGTAATCGGCCTCCGTTGTCGCCTAGGCTGGCCTCTTCTTGACATGTCCCAGCAGCTTTCCCCGCATCTCCGAGGAAGGTCTCCCACCTTCCAAACCAGACTGACTAAATCACTTCCTTAAATTTTATCCCAGCCTGGAGAGGCTTGGCCTGGCTGCTCAGCCGCTGTCACATGCCTCCTTTCCCACTTCCTTCCATCGCCGCCCCAAGGCCTCTTTAATTCTCCATCTTTCATAAAGTATTCCCTGACTCATGGAAGTGAAATGATCCAGCCTAGTTCATAAAAGTGGAAAATGACTCCTCTGGACCAGAAAGAGAAACACAATAAGAAACACAGCCGCAGACCCAAGCAAAAGAACAGCACATGATCCTGAGTTCCTGTTCAGTGGGAAAAGCCCCCCAGGGGAAGGAAGTGCATCTGTGGAATGCACACTGAATTTCCTTCCCATCTGGGGCCCAGCAAACATTATTAACGCACGATAATGATTTGTCAAGTGATAGAAATTGTTCCAGGGGGGGGGGAACGGGGTATGAAATACAGAGTCCTTCCTATGTTTCAAGGGGAACGAGGAGCCGGGTCATCCAGATGTGTTTTCTTAGGGGAGTTGTGAATTCCTTGTGTGCAGCTATCACGGTGTAATTGTATTTTACTTTCTCACCATTCTTTGTGTGTGCGTGTATGTGTACACACACATATTTACCCACCTATTTAAGATGAAAGGGTAGAGTGTGTCCTTTCTTATCCAGTTTATAAAGAGCTTGGAACTCACAGCTCCATCCCCCCAGCAAGTACTTGTAAAGCTCACAGTCCAGGCTTACCAAAGCCCTGAGATCTCATCTTAGGAATCCGGTCTGATTCCTCCCATCCTCCCCCCCCCCCCCAAATCCCCGACCTTGTGCATACCACCGTGTTACTGAGGCCTGTTTGCAGCAGTTTATGAATGTGTTCTCCTGTATTCGTTACCTTCTGCTGCTGTGCTAGCACGCCATGGCCAAAGCAGCTTACACAAGAGTTTATTTGGGCTTATGGTCCCAGAGGGAGAGTCCATCGTGGTCATGGAGAGTGGAGAAGTTGCAGAGTTGAAGCAGAGAGAGCAAGCCAGAAGTGGAAAAAGGCTATGGAGTCTCAAAACCTACCCCCCTGGTAATGTTCTTTCCTCAGCAAGACTATCTTCTAGAGGTTCCATTCCTGTCCTGCTGCAAACAGTGTTACCATCTAGGACCAGGTATTCAAATACACGTGCCTAAGGGGGATATTTCTCATTTCAAACCACCACACCTCCTGAAGTTCTTATGTTGAGATTTTTCTTTTCTTTCTTTTTCTTTTTTTATTTATGTTAGAAACAATCTTGTTTCACATGTCAATCCCAGCTCCCTCTCCCTCTCCTCCTCCCCCTCCCTCCCCACCAGGTCCCCCAGTCCCCCACCCAATCTCCAGGAGTCTGGGTCAGTCCCATGCTGTCCACACAGCCATCAATCTGGAGTCCAAGAATGTTCAGGTCAGCTGTGTCTGTGGGTTAAACCATTAATTCCTCGGTGTGGCAGTGGTGGGAGATGGGTCCCGGGAGCAGAGCGCCACAGAGTAGCAATGCCTTTCCCTGTGAGTTCTTGCTCCCAAAAGTCAGGACATATGTCCCTACACAAAGCCCAGGAGCTCATCCAGGAGAAGAGAGTGGAGAAAGAGTTCTTAACCACGACAAGGAGAGCATTGGGACCGCTTCAAAAGTAATGCTTCTCCAAGGAGAGGAAGTAGGGGGATTTTTGTTTTTATTTCCTTTATAGGAGAGTACGTTAGTGGTGGGCAATCGTGAGCTTGCCATAGAGCAAGAAGGAAATATGGTGGTTACAAACACTTGTGGGCATACTCAGTCCAACATTTTTTGTTTTGGTTTTATGAGACAGGGTTTTGGAAGCTGTCGGTCCGGCCCGGCCTCGAACTCACAGAGATCCGCCTGCCTCTGCCTCCCGAGTGCTGAGATTAAAGACGTGCGCCACCAACGCCTGGCTCAATCCAACATTTAAGGAGCCAAATTTACTCTAAGTTACTCAGAAGAAAGAGTGGCTTTGTGACTTTGGCTGGTTTTCCATGAGAGTCTTAGCTGAAACAAAAACAAAGGCTAAGTCTGAAGCTGCCCTGATGGAGGAGTGAGGAGCCGTCCACTCTTCTGTTCTGTCTTCTGTGTGTGCTCTCTTGTATTGCTTTCCTCCGTGACGCAAGGAAAACCTCACCAGATTCGGCTAGCCAGTCACTGACTTTCCAGCCTCTAGAAACTTGAACCGGAAGAAACTTTTTTCCTTTATAAGTTACCCAGGTGCAGGTATTTTCGTATAGCAACATGACTAAGACTTCAGTCATGTCTGGCTGTGAAGGAAAAAAAAATCTCAAGACATAATAACATGCAAATAATGAGACAGAGCAAACATCAAAGCCAGACTCAGCTGTCGCAGGGATGTTGGCTCTAACAGACTAGGAATTTTAGACGATGATTAATGTGCTAGCGCTCTAATGGAAAGGCAGGCAATGTGTAAGAACAGATGAGCAATGGGAGAGAAACAGAACAAAAGAAAAGCTAAAGAGCAAAGCCACTTAGCGGAAGGAAGGAAGGAAGGAATGAAGGAAGGAAGGAAGGAGCGCCCCATGGACACAGCTAAGAGGCATCTCTGCGTTAAGGGTGCACCAGGAGAAACCTGCAAAGCTGAAAATCTAGGAGGAAAAAAGGATTCGGGATAAAGAGATTCGAGTAAGAACTATGAGACAGCCAGCTGTGGAGATACACGCCTTTAATCCCAGTAGTGGGTAGGCAGAGGCAGGCGGGTCTCTGAGTTTGAGGTCAGCCTGGTCTACACAGTGTGAGTTCCAGGTCAAACAAGGCTATATAGTGAGACTGTGTCTCAAATTCCCCACTGAAACGAGTTAAAAGGTTGGAATGATTGGTGATGGGAAACAGGTTTTGGCATGATAGTTGAGAGTTAGGGAGCTCTTATGTAAGTCTTAAAGAACTATCGGATTGTTTAAAAAAAACAAAACAGTATAATGCTTGCATGCCTTCTTTGATAAATACACTCTAAATAAAAAGTTAAATTTCCAAAAAAAAAAAAATGAGTATCTTCAGATGACCTGTGTCACTTTGTGTCTAGGGCATATGTTCCAACCCTTATCTCTGATTGAAACAAAACATTTGTAGATATGTTTCTAAATATATAAATACAAATATGAATGTATATTTATGCCATTTTAGGGATACTGAATAGTAAATCGGTTTTAAATTAAAAGAGAAAACAAATTCCCCACGAAAACAGAACTCTGAGACAAGCACAACAGGTGTAACGACATGTAATGGGGACACCAGAAGGACAGGACAGGGAGAAGAAATACTTGAAACAATGGCTAAGGATTTCTGCAAGATAATGCCAGGCACAAACCATTGATCCAGGAAGCTCAAGGTATTTCAAGTAGGGTAGATGCTACAATCCTACTCTCAAACGTGTGATGCCCCGAAAAGTGTTACTAGGAGTCTAGGCATCGTGGCACCACACCTTTAATCCCCACACTTGGGAGGCAGAGGCAGGGCAGGTAGATCCCTGTGAAGTCTTTCAGGACGTCACATGTATGTATGTATGTATGTATGTATGTATGTATGTATGTATGTATGTCACCCTGAAACTTCTGTGTTACTGTGAAAATGGGTTCTCCTTTGAGTTCATATTAGTAAAGTGATTTAAAGCAGGAGTTTGTAGGATGCTTGTGGACAATTTTATTATGAGGGATGGGGAGAAAACATCAGGTTGAGCCATCTGTACACCCCAGTAGCTGCAGGGAGGAGGGACATGGAGAAGAGGAAGGCAGGTAGCCATGCCTTTTGACTGGGGCCAGCAAGCAGGCCCATAGCAGCAAGAAAGCTACACAGTTAAAGTAGAGGAACTTCAGAGACAGTCTAAAGTGTCAGAAAAAATGGAAGTTTAGATTTTAGCTAGTACCCAGAAAGAAGACGATGGGTGTGGTGGCACAAGCCCTTAGTCCCATGGCTCAGGAGGCAGAGGCAGGCAGCTCTTTGTGAGTCTGTGGCCAGCCTGGTCTACAAAGGAAGCTTCTGGCCAGCCAAGGTTGCATCTTGAGACCCTATTTTAAAACAAGATAGAAAAGGGAATGTTAGCAGGGCGTTGGTGGCGCACGCATTTAATCCCAGCACTCAGGAGGCAGAGGCAGGCGGATCTCTGTGAGTTTGAGACCAGCCTGGTCTACAAGAGCTAGTTCCAGGAGAGTTTCCAAAGCCACAGAGAAACCCCGTCTCGGAAAAACCAAAAGAAAAAAGAAAAAGAAAGAAAAGAAACGGGAATGTTACACCCTTCTGAGTTAAGTGGACAGGCTTAGCAGAGCTGCATGGCTGCTCCATAAGTGACAGTCCTGAAGTCCGGGTTTTAGGGGAGGAAAAGAGAATGATGTATTCCTCCCATCTCTTCAGCATGGCTTTAAGTGAGTCAGCCTTCCTGAGGAGTGGTCCCCTGGCTAGGTAGTTGATAGACTGCCTGTGACTGTGATAAAACACCCACCAAAAGCAACTTGGGGAGGAAAATGTTTACTTGGCTTTTACTTCCATAGTCCATCACTGAGGGAAACCAGGGCAGAAACTCAATCAGGAACAGAAGCGGAACCATGGAGGGAATCTTACCCATGTGTTTCCTGTGATTTGTCAGCTTGGTTTTTTGGGCAACCCAAGACCACAGTGGGCTGGGTCCCCAGGTATGGATCATTAATTAACAAAATGCCTGACAGACATGCTCACGGGCCAGTATGATAGGGTAAATTCCTCAGTTGAGGGTCCCTCTCCTCAGGAGTCTTTAGTTTATGTCAAGTTGACAAAAACTAACCAGGATAACTGACCCCTTGTCAACTTGACACATAAATGTATCACTGTAAACGTTAACTTTCCTTTCATGTTTGTCCCCAAGAGTTCACATTAATACCACAATATGAAACATAGCACAACGTTGAAAAATCCCGCAGTCTTTTAAAAATCCCATCTCTTTGGAGAGTCAGCATCTCATAAGAGTCCAAAGTCTCGCCGGGCAGTGGTGGTGCACGCCTTTAATCCCAGCACTCAGGAGGCAGAGGCAGGCGGATCTCTGTGAGTTCGAGGCTGTGCTGGACCGACAGCCTCCAAACAATACAGAGAAACCCTGTCTCGTAAAAAACAAAAAACAAACAAAAAAAAGATTCCAAAGTCTCGGGATGGAGAGATGGCTCGGCAGTCAGGACCAGCTGTCACTCTTGCACAGGACCAGAGTTCCCTTCCCAGCACCCATCAGGGTCTCACAGCCATGCCAAGCTCTGGGTCCATGAACTCTGACACCCTCTTCTGTCCTGTGTGCACCAGGCATCACATACATAGCAATAAGATAAGTCTAAAAGAAAAGTACAGGTCAGAAATTTGTATTTACCCAAAGGAAGAACATTAGAGAAAGGAAAAAAAGGTAAAAGAAAACCTTTTTATTGTAATTGATCTAACAGTTTATAAAAATAATAACAGCAGCAGTATATTTTGTACTTATATGTGTATGCATAAGAATAAGTAAAGCAGTGACAGCAGTCATACAAAGAGTAGGAAGGAGGAACTGGGATTGCATTATCATAGAGTACATGTACTTACCTGTCAGTCAGCATAGAGTATGAAAATAGATTTTGATAAAAAAAATGGACTTAGATTATATGTAAATAAACTTTATGGAAACCACTTAAAAAGTAGGAAAGGGAAGGCTGTTAGCAAAGAAAATTTATTCTATAAACTTATGATATAATTTGGGTAGTCTAAAGGCACCAATTTAACAGATTGTCATGGGTTGGGTGGGGGTGTAGCTCAGAAGCATGTGGATCTCTGAGTTCAGAGCCAACCTAATCTATAGAGTGAATTCCAGGACAGCCAGGGCTACACAGAGAAACCAACGGGGGGGGAGGGAGAGGACCTTTGTTTACACAAAGAAAGGATGAACTGAACTGACAGGCATAGGAAATTCACTCTAAGAAAACCAATCTTGCTCTGTGTGTGTGTGTGTGTGTGTGTGTGTGTGTGTGTGCACGCATGTTTAATTGAAGTTAAAGTTCTTTTCATTCCTGGTTAACACCTCCCAGCTTTGACCTATGTCTTAATTACTTTTCTATTGCTGTGATAACACACCATGACCAAGGCAACTTATAAAGGAAAGTGTATAATTTGGGCTTACAGTTTCAGAGGGTGAGAGTCCATGATGGTAGAGCAGAAATAGCTGAGAGCTCACATCTCGATCTGCAAGTAGGAGGCAGAGGGAGAGAGAAAGCAAGCACTGGGAATCATAGAGTCTTTTGAAACTTCAAAACCAGCCCCTAGTGACATTCCCTCCAACAAAGCCACACCTCCTAATCCTTCCCAAACAGTTCCATAAACTGGGGATCAAGTCTTCAAATGCATGAGCCTGTAGGGGCCATCCTGATTCAAACTACCACAGTCAGTATGGCATCCTGCCCAGAGAATATTGGTCTTACTTTGGGTTTGGGGTGGTTTAAATGATAAATGTCCCCCATAAGTCCTTGTACTTGAAACCTTGGTCCCATTGTGGGTGCTATTTGGGGAGTCTGTGGGGGTGTGGCCTTGCTGGAGGAAGAGTGTTACTAGAGGTGGAATTGAGATTTTACAGCGTCATCCTACTTCCAGTTTGCTTTCTCTGCTTTGTGTGTGAAGTTGAAGATGTGAGACTCAGCTTCCTGTCCCTGCCACCATGCCTGCTGCTTACTGCCATGCCCCCTGTGATGGACTCTTATCCCTCCAGAACATACACCAAAGTAAACTTGCTTCCCGAAGTTGCTTCTGGTCTTGGTGTTTTCTCACAGACACAGAAAAGTAAATAACACAGGTTTGTTTTTCCCCCACAAACCTGCTGAATGGCCCGGCAGGGAGGTGTGGGAATGTGAGATGATGGGAGGGAAGGCGGCCAATGAAACGTGGTTGTGGAGTCAGTAGCAGGAGATCGCTGTGATCCATGGGAGTTCCAGCCTTCTGCCCAGGGTAGGACACGTCCAAGAAAACCAGGGCTGGAGTCCACACGTGCAGCTCCTGCCAGTCATTGGTTGAGTTCCTGGGAGCGTACATTCCTGGTGCTCCTTTCCTATCAGGTGAGCAGAGATGCAGGAGCTGCCAGTGGAAGTGTGGCCCCCGGGCTCTGAGGCGGGGCCACGATGGGGCGGGGCAGGGGATGGCACAGCTGCAAGCTGAGTGGAGGAACATCGTGCTCTCCGTGAGTGACTGCCGTCTTCCCTGGATGCAGCAGCTCGTGTCACGAGCGGTTTCTTGTCTGGCTATGAAGGGAGAGTTGAGTGGGGTTAAAGAGGGAGCGGTGCCCATGTCAGTTCTAGGGTATGGTGAATGCTCTGTGTCTGGGCCAGGACTGGGGATCTTAGGGTCTGAGTGGCTGCCCCATGCTACCTCAGAACTCAGCTCCTTCCACTTTGTTCCTGGTCAAGAACACTGGCCAGTTAGATATGCCCCAACCAGCAGCACGGCTCTCCCTGGGTGGCCTTATTTTACCACTAATCATTAGCTGGTCCTGTGACTGTTAGTCCGGAAAGTCATTTAGTCACTCCTGTAGAATAGGATCCTGCATATAGCTTAGATATACTTGAACATATCATATTTTTACATGGCGATAGTTAATTGTAGAGTTTATTTTTCCCAACCCTCGGGATAGAATAGAATCTGCCTTGTGTCCATCCCAAATTGGTATCTAGTAGGCTGTGATTATGGGGACTATTCTCAAAGTACTGGATACATAAGGCTTCCAAGGCCTTGCACAAATCCACCTGCCAAGTGAAAGGATTCCAGTGCCTTGCCATTTCAGTGTGACCTTGCAGTGAAGTCTGTGTCCTTGAAGCTGACAGTCAGGGTGGGAGTGTGATAGGTGAGGTTGAAGTCGCCTGTTAGCTCATACCTGCATGAAACAGACCACGAGTAAGGGGCCAGCATTTCACCACGTGTGTTCCTTCTTGTGCCATCTGAGCTGTGAACGCCATGCTAAGTGGGTCACTGTGAAGCTCGGCAAGTTAATTTTTCTCCAGTAAAAGTAAGAAACAAACCAGTGGGATCTTCTGTTAATCTTGGCAGGTTGGCCCCAGTGAAGGGATTTTGTTTCTTTGACTGAAGGTTTAAAAAGTTTTATCACCAAATGGAAGAGCAAGCAATTTTAACGTTGAATCAAAGGGAAGGCAGTTGGCGGGGAGGGGGGGAGGTGTAGTTCAGTGATTATCAGAGGCTCTTGCAGAAGACTCAGAAGACTTTGGTCTGTTGGAAGCATCCTTGTCAGGGGGCTCACAGCCACCTGTAAGTCCAGCTCCAAGGGATTCAATGCCTGGTCTACAGAGGGAGTTCCAGGACGGGTGCCAGCAATACAGAGAAATCCTGTCTGAAAAGAAAAAAAACAAAAACAAAAAAATTAAAAGGCAAAACAAAAACACTAGCTGGTCTTCTAGAGGTCCTGAGTTCAATTCCCAGCAACCACATGATGGCACAACCATCTGTAATGAGATCTGGTGCCCTCTTCTGGCCTGCAGGGATATATGCAGACAGAATTAATTCAAGTGGCAGCTAGGATCTTAGCTGTAGACTGCCCACAGGGACACAATAAACCAGAGTGTAGGGCTGGGTCTGGTGTGCTTTGATATTCAGGGTCTAGTGCTCATGTTTTGTGTGTTCCTATTGTAAGGCAGAGATCTGTTTGGATCCCACCACAGGTGTGGCTCTTGGCTATGTTGTTGATGAGTGAGGCGTGTGCCATCATACCTGTATTGACTCTGGGTCCCATCCCTAGCACAACAGACAAACAAGGCGTTTGCAATATTTTAGTCACATGTGTTTTTTTTTAAACATTATAATTCTTTCCTTATGGCTAGGCATAGTGACATATACTTGTAATCCCAGAGCTGGGCTCTTAGAAACAAGGAGGTTCATTTCAAATTTGAGTCCAGTTTGGTTTCACAGTGAGTTCCAGATCAGCCAAGGATGCATAAAGAGACCCTGTCTCTGTCTCTCTCTGTGTGTCTCTCTCTGTGTGTCTCTCTTTGTCTCTCTCTCTCTCTCTCTCTCTCTCTCTCACACACACACACACACACACACACACACACACACACACACACGCATGCACGCACGCACATTGGTGGACTGGGAGATATCTTCACCAGTTAAGTTTGCCATACAAGCATGAATTTCTGAGTGTGAGTTCCCAGAACCCACATAAAAGCAGGACAAGGTCATGACCCCAGTGCTATTAGTGAGGGTCACAGGTAGGGAAGACCTATGGATCCCTGCCAAACATTCTAGCCAATCAGTGGGTTCCGATTTCATTCAAAGACCCCATTTAAAAACTAATGTGGAGAGCAGCTTAGACTCCTCCACTGACCTCTGGCCTCCACGTGCACAATTACTTTGGGACAGGGACACAGGAGTTACTAGTGTGACTTTTGAGTCAATGTTAAGATGTTAATAGGTTTGTTTTTGCTGATAAGGTCACTGCTGCAAGGCTGTCCCTGCCTCATTTTGAGTCATTGCCAAGGACTCTGTCCTCCTCGGGAGAATCAGTGGACTCTGGTGTGCCGAGTAGCCCAGATCTTCCTTTTCAAAATACCCTTCATGAGGCTGGGAGATGAGTCGGTGGGCACAGTGCTTCCTATGCAAACAGGAGAGCCTGAATTATGGGCCCTAGCACCCATATAGAGAAAGATGGGTGCAGCAGCTTGCTCTGTACCCCAGCACTGCGGGCAGAGGCTTGCTGGCCAGCCAGTCAAATTGTAACGGTGAGCTTGGTGAGAGATCTTATGTCAAAATTAATTAATTCTTTAAAATAAGGTGAAGCCGGTTGTGGTAAACATGTCTTTAATCTCAGCACTTGGGAAACTGAGGCAGGAGGATGTATATGAGTTTGAGGCCAGCCTGGTCTGCATAATGAGACCCTGTCTCAATATAAGAATAAGAGGGGGCTGGAGAGGTGGCTCAGAGGTTAAGAGCACTGACTGCTCTTCCAGGGGTACTGAGTTCAATTCCCAGCAACCACATGGTGGCTCACAACCATCTACAATTCAATCTGGTGTCCTCTTTTGGCATGTAGGCAAAACACTGTATATTTAATAAATAAATAAATCTTTAAAAAAAAGAATAAGAGGACAACACCAATGTCAACCTCTGGCTTACACACACACACACACACACACACACACACACACACGCCAAAACCTAACACTGTCACACATGCTAGGAATTACCCATAATGATCCCTTCCTGCCAAGCTGTGAGTGTGTGAAGCTGGCACTCAGGCTTGTTCACTGCTGTTCCCTCCTAGCTCTGAGGTAGGTTTCTTGGATGGGCAGGGCATACCTTCACGCTTGCCCCTGAACACCACACAGCCACCCATGCCTAGCTACATTCTGCTCAGAGAGGGCAATGCAAAGTACTAGGACAGCCTGTAGCCTCAGACACCGTGTAGGTCACAGTGACAGTTTTCTAGAGTTCATTTGAGCAAACCCTAATCAGGCAGGGAGCCCAGCAGCACATTCATGGAAGGACATGGAAGAGCGAAGAAAAAGAGAGAGGAAGAGAGGGAGGGAGGGAGGGAGGGAGAGGAAGGCTGACTGGCTGGCCTGGTAAGAGGCGGGAATTTAGGAGGTTAGTGCCTGGCGGTAGTTTCTGGCAACACTGGAGACTTGGAGCCCCCATCATGAGGGGCTAGGACTTTGCTCTTTATGAACGGGCAGCGAATGAAAGTTCTGAAGCAGGCAAGCAGTGTGATCCAACTGCATTTTTAACAAGCAATGTCTAGGAATAAGTGGGTGGTGAACCCTGCGCCCCATGCACATCTGGCAAGTACGTAGGTGATTCTCATGTGGGTCATTCAAAGACTTCCCCTAGCAAAGCAGTGAATCAGATGAGAATCTGTGCTAAGTGAAAGCTGTTGTCAGAGCAGTTCCTGAGGATGTTGGGACAGAGAACACAGCCACTAAGCTAAGAAGCTGAGGAGTTTTCAGAGCTGTTCCCAAAGATCCCAGAGCATCAGGGATTCAAAAAACAAAGCGTACTGCCTGACAGAGCTTTGAAGTCCTGCCTCGTGCCTGCCTGAACAATTGGGTGGAAGCTGCAGGCTTTGGGGAGATGCTGTGCCAGAGCATTGTCAGCAGGAGCCGGCCTCGCCCTGCCTGGAAACCACGCCTAGACTCAGGCCGGGTGTTTTGGAGGTTATTAACATAACAGTTATAAGGCAGTTCTAGCCCTGCTATGGGGAAGGTTTTGTGGGAATACACTAGAAAAGCTAGGGGACTTTCTTCTCTTTTTATGGACTCAGTAGTGTATTTCCAAAGTTCTTTTGGTCAGTAGTGAATAAACTAGATGGGAAAAACCTAAATGCGTCGTCAGTATATCTCCAGAGTATCCCTGCTTGCCTTTAAAAGTCTGTGCAAACACATGTAGACAGACTGGACTCTAAGAATAATGTTTTTGTATGGACATATATGGACAGATAAGGCCCCAAGGGAGAAAAAAAAAGCTTCGTTGAAAATGAAAATAAATATCTCCTGCAGTGCCGTCCTCTGCTCACTGGGGTTTCTTTATTTAACTTTGAAATCTCAAAATGCTGCTAAAGAATTGAACAAGAGAGATCATGCGTATCTGCCCTGTGTCTCTGTACCACGCAGAGTAGGTCTTAATGCAAGAGAGGCGACACCAATACAGTGCCGCTTGGAGGTGCTGCCCCTCATTTGTCAGTAGCAATCCAGAGCTTCCAGCCAATGCCACCCTTAGTGCCCATCAGGAGCCCTTGAGGGCCCCTGGGCTCCCGTCAGTCCTCTCGGGGCCAGGCGCTTTGCCTTCTCTCTGTGCTGTGTGCTGTGATCTACATCTGACGGCAGGCACTCACGAAGGCAAGCTGCTTTGTTCTAATGAGACAGGGTCTCTCTATCCAGCCTTGACTGGCCTCAGATTCTCAAGAGAGTTCTGCCTGCCTCTGGGAGGCAGTTTCTCAGTGGGAGATTAGCACATGACAGGTGGAGGGGTGCATTTGCCTTACACGTGTGTCAGCTGGAAGCTGAGGTGAGCTCTAGGGGACTGTCTGTGCTTGGTTTCTGGAGACTCATCACAATGTGGTGTGCGGGTTGTTCCCTGTGGCAAGATCCTCGGTGGAAAGGTCCTGTCCAAGGAAGCAGCTGGAAGAACTTCCCTGTGTGCTCAGTGTGTGTCAGCATCCAGAGGCACCTGAGAAAATGGATGCACGGGCTTCCATGCAACCCAGCAGATTTCTCCTGTTTATTTTTAAGTGGCCTTGAACAGCAGGAGAGAGCTATAGCTTTGCCTTTTCTTCTCACAAATGAAATAAAATCACGCAGAACAAAGCTCCACTGACACCCAGGACCTGAGGTGGCACAGCCCCCAAAGCTTCCCATCCAACTGGTGACCTCTTGAAGAGGTCCCGTGTGCAAAATAGCCTAGCAGGACCAGCGATAAGGAAGAGAGGCACTGTGTGTTTATTTACTCCCTCTCGCTCCAGTATCTTTTTTAAAAAAACTTTTATTAAATTTGTTTCTTAACTGTTTCCTACATATAATACATTCTGGTCACTTTCAACCCTCCTCCCCTTTAATCTGGTACACTGCTATCAGCACAAGTACACACACAAACACACACACACACACACACACACACACACACAAACAAGTCTAGGTAGGGCCGTCTGGGTGAACTTGAGTTTGAAACTATCTGCTGGAGCCTGGTGAGGTCCCCAACCTCCTGTGTTTTTGTTTCATTGAAACAGAGTATAAAGTGACAGGGACAGTCACCGCCCAACTACTGTTAAAGGAAGTATGAGGAGCAGTGGCATGCTGTGGGATGTGCCTATGGACCCCACTTCTGCCACTGTCCACCAGTGGCTGGCTCCTTCCTGCCTCAGACAACAGCAGCAATTCCCAATGCCCTCCCCACCAAAAAACAAAGACACACAAAAACACAGGGGCATGTGTGGAAGGGGCAAGTGTCCAGATCAGGGCACAGCGCCAGAGCAGTTCCCAGTGTAGCTCCAGTCTCTCTGAGAGCAGAAGGCAGACTTGGCTCGCAGCAGAGAGTAGCAGGCACCGTTCTGAAGCTCTTGGGGGTGCACCCACCTGTAATTGCAGCCAAATGAATATTAAGTGAAATATTACCTTGAATCGGGCTGGCGAGATGGATCAGAGGTTAAGAGCACTGACTGCTCTTCCAGGGGTCCTGAGTTCAATTCCCAGCAACCACATGGTGGCTCACAACCATCTACAATTCAATCCGGTGTCCTCTTCTGGCATACAGGCAGAACACTGTATGTGTAATAAATAAATAACTCTTAAAAAAAAAAGATTACCTTGAATCTACACTGTGGTGGTTTGAACAGCTGTGACC